GGGGTCCTGGCGGGGGCGGGAGGCACGTGCCCGGGGAGGCTCGGTCGTAGGTGCGGGGCGCGGGCGCGCCCTCGGCTCCCTGCAGGTGGGGCGGTGCGCGGCCGCTGCGGTCCCGGCACGGCTGCAGGGGAGGGGGGTGCGCCTTTTGACAGTGTCCTAAAACAGACAGCCGCGTCCTGGACACCTCCTGACTGTGGTGGTGATCGCCGTTAGCCTTCGGAGGGGCTCAGAAGCAGCGGGAGATGTAGGCGAGTTTAAAGAGGAACGAGGAGGAGACCGAACAATTACGTTTATGATGGGTGGTTTGCCACCAGTCGCTGTAGCGCTGTCAAGTCATTTAAAAGTGGTTCTCACATTACATCTTTAGAGGGTGTTTTGAGGGAGAAATGTAGGTTTTGAAGTTACATTTAGTTTACGCGGAGGTAATTCTTTGTGCCTGCCCCAGGTATACTGCCGGCCTGGAAGTGTGCTCTGTTTGATGTATATGGGGTAGACCACGGCTTGACGCTTTGGTTTTAAAATGAATGTTATGGCACTGATATTTTTAAGACCTTATTTTTCTTTTCATAGGGTGTCTTTTATGAATAATCAAAAGCAGCAAAAGCCAACGCTATCAGGCCAGCGTTTTAAAACCAGAAAAAGAGGTAAATATTTATGTTATAATAATATCTTTTTGAAATTTCCAGAATAACTTTATATTTTGGTTCCTCTGGCAGAGTATTTGCTGAGTACTAAAACCTTAGGAGAAAATGCCAGAAGGGAGCTTGCCATTTCAGATATACCCTTAAATTTTTCTAGCGTTTTTCAGAACTTTTAGTTTTTTGATATCAATATATATATCTCTAAGAAGGTTAGTGGATGGTTTTTTGACTATAAAGATAAAGCAGCAAAGTACAGGCTCCATTTTCACTAGCTAAATTTCATTTAAGCACACTTTTGCTTGAGGGAAAAGGATAATTTATAAAAGAAGAGCTCCTAATGTAATCAGTAACTTCACCTGAACTTTGTGATGATTTGTGAGAGAGAAAGAAGACTTTACCTATGGAAGTTAATTATGGAACAGAGTTCACATTGTAATATTTTTTGGAATTAAGTATTTCTTACAGACTTAGTAAGAAAGGTAATAGAAGTGTATTAACTACTTCTGTGTATTTGTGGGTACTTAGATAAATACTGAATTCGTAGTAAGACATTGAGCTAGTGAGACAAAGTGAAATGAGATGTGGTCTCATATATTTGTATTGAGCTTAATATTTTCCCAAAAACTTTTCAGTGTTATTGTTCAAAAGCACGTTTTGACCTTATATTACAGAAGATTTTGGGGAAAGAGAGAGGTGGGTTAACAGTAGGGTATAAACTGTTTTTCTACCCTGAGTAACAGACACTTTGAGATAATATGTTACAGAATCTTTTGTAATCTCTAATCATAGTGTGTCCACTTGTAGTGGGAGACCCAAGAGTGATTTGACTAGTCTATGCAGATTCATTTGGATTTAAGCCAGCAACTCTTATCAAGAGGAGGAACAGAAAAACCAGGGCAGTCCAGCAGTAATGGGGGAGTCTGTGTTGTCTTGAGTTTGTGGATTACTGGTATCACCTTTGTGTAAATATAGTATCAAGTAATTTTGTTATTGTTGTTAGCATCAGGAAGAGATGTCATTTCCCCAGTTCCAGATTGAGGTCACTTATGCCCTCCTAGTTCTTGATGATTGGGTCCTGGGTAGGGTGAACAACCATCCCAGTTCGCCTGGGACTGAAGAGAGCTCCCAGAACATAGACCTTTCAGTGTTAAAAACAAGAAAGTCCTGGGCTCACAGGGAGGAGTTGGTCTAGGAGCACACCCTAGTGCTGTGTGAAAATTAAAATAGCATCTAACCTAGATAGAGAAATCAAATCCTATCATGGGGTGTGATAGCAGCTCAGTAAAGGCTAGGTATGTACCCAGGGCACTGTTCTGAGTGCTTTCTGTTTTATTTATATCAGTTAATACTCACCACAATTTCATGAGATAGGTACTACTCTAATCACCACTTGACGGTGGGGAAATTCAGGCATGAAGAATGAGGCTAGTTGTTCAAATTCAGACAGTTCAGGAAGTCATGATCAGGATTTGAATCAGGCGGCCTGACGCCAGAGCCCTTGCTCTTTAACTATACACAATATAGTTTCTTGATTACCTAATCCTCTGACCTTCAATCTCCCTTTTGAATTATGGGAACAAAAAGATCTGCCTCACAAGGTTGTTATAAGGATTAAAGCAAGGCGTCTGCTACAGATAATTGTCAGATATTGGATACTCAATAAACGTACTTATTCTAAAGATTACCTTAATAAGTACTAAGTGAGTGATTTAAAAAAAACAACATAGAAAGTGTTATGGGCATTTAAAGAAGAATCAAGAGCTCCAGCGTTTGGACAAAATTTCACTCAGGAATAAAATTTACCTGAGATTTAGAGGATGTTCTAACTTCCAGAAAAGCCCAGAGGTAATGGGAGAGCATTCCAGTTAGAAATGGTCTCCTGGTAGTAGGAACACACTAGCTCAGTTCGCTCACTTATGAGACTTGTGTGAAAAAATAGTGGGAGGAAAGCCACACAATTCTTGTGACGAGGCAGTCCTGCCTTGCATTTGCCGATGCAAATCTGAAACTGCATTTTCAGAGGATGTGCATTTAGTCTCCTATTGTGTTTGCTTGTGTTGCAGGTCTTGGGTAATCTAGCTTGTGTTTGTTTTTTCCAGCTGTTGAAATAAATGAAATTGTGTTGAATTCAGTTAACTTATTTGGTAGCGACAGCTTCATAAGGTGGTGGTTTCATGGCAATTTGGTAAGCCTTTTAAAGCTAAATCTTTTGGGATTTTCCTCCCAGATGAAAAAGAGAGGTTTGACCCTACTCAGTTTCAAGACTGTATTATTCAAGGCTTAACTGAAACTGGTACTGATTTGGAAGCAGTAGCAAAGTTTCTTGATGCTTCTGGAGCAAAACTTGATTACCGCCGATATGCAGAAACACTCTTTGACATTCTGGTGGCTGGCGGAATGCTGGGTAAGTGTCTGGGTTTTGTGGGAAGTGTGACGTATGGAGATTCTGTAGAATCCAGAATATGAACTATTTGACAAACCTACCAAATTGGGGTGGCTTTATTTTTGTTTTTTTACCCCATTAGGATTTTTTCCATTTTTTTCCTCCTAGATCATAGTAAGTTAGCAGATTGCCTTGCTCTGTTTAGCTTTATAATTGTAAACTGTTACAGAACCATAACATTTGGGGGTGACTTTTCTTTCTGATTCCTAAGTCTCTACAATATCCCCAATCAGCGATTTTTCCAACCTGTGTTTGAACACTCCCAGTTAATGAATAAACCCTTATCTCTTGTGTTTTACAAAATGCTTCTTCTATATACCTGAAAACTCTAATCCTACATTCTTCAATACATTAGCCACTAGCCACATGTGGCTATCTATCATTGGGAATGTGGCTAGTGCAAACTGAGATGTACTGTAAGTGTAAAATACACTTTGGATTTTAAAGACTTAATATAAAAAAGAATGTAAGACATCTCAATAATATTTTGAATACTGAAATGTTAAAATCAATATTTTTGACATATTGGATTAAATTAATTTCACCCTTTATTTTTAATATGGCTACTAGAAGATTTGAAATTACATTATGTGGCTCACATTATATTTCTGTTGCACAGTGCTGCTCTAACTTCTGCCTCCACACACAACAGCTCAGGATGTCTTAATAGAGTGTACTACTTAGTTATATATCTTCAAGTGATGATGGTTATGTAATTTCCATAGCTCTTTACAATATTTCAGAAGTTTTCACAGTAGTATTGTATTGACTTTCCCAGCCAAGCTGATAGAATCAGAACTCCATTTGTATACATGCAGAATGGAAACTTAGAAAGGCTTCAGTGACTTGCACGCAAACAATTCCTCAGTAGTGGAACCAGGAACTTATGTTTATACATTCTAATGCTTAGTCAAATGAGTGTTTCTTTCATTGTATTACCGGTTTGTAGTAAGAAATATAAAAGATACCTATTTTCTATTTATAGTCCTGCTATCAATAAGCCTGTTTTTAAAATCTTTTTTGTTTTTGCTGAGGAAGACCCGCCCTGAGCTAACATCTATTGCCAATCCTCTTCATTTTTTCTTTTCTTTTTTTTTTTTCTTTTCCCTTTTTCTCCCCAAAGCACCAGTAGATAGTTGTATGTCATAGTTGCACATCCTTCTAGTTGCTGTATGTGGGACCCCGCCTCAGCGTGGCCAGACAAGCAGTGCATTGGTGCGCTCCTGGATCAGAACCCGGGCTGCCAGTAGCGGAGCACGTTCACTTAACTGCTAAGCCATGGGGCCGGCCCCTAAAATAATTTTTAAAACATTTACTAAGGAGGTTTTTTCTTAAAATTTTTCAGAGAGAATAGTAAGAATGAATTTATGATCTGTTACCCAACTTCAGCAATTATTAACAATCTTACTCTGTGTTCCCTCTGACTGTATCCCCCTCCCCTGTATTTTAAAATATATATCAGATATCATTTTATCCATAAATATTTATGAATATATCTAAAAGGTAAAGACTGTAATTTGTGGGTTTTTATAGCCCAACTTCTATGGAAGCTTGAAGGGTTGTTTGCTGTATGGAAAGTCACACATCAAAAACCGGCTCTGAACATCACCACTTGAGTGAAAGACTTGACACTATTGAATGGTTAATGCAATGAGTTTCATTGGGTTATTTTATTTATTCATATAAATTGTTTCACTTTATTCACACATATTGAGCCAATCAGCTATGTTCTACTGAGAAATTGACTTTGCTTTCAGATCATCTCTTAGAATTTTTATCACTTTATTTCATGATGAGAATCCTTACAGAAAGTAAGGTTGAAATGATTATTAGTTGTAAATGAAAGTCACTGCAAATTTTTTGTAAATATGCCTTAGCTCCAGGTGGTACACTGGCAGATGACATGATGCGTACAGATGTCTGTGTGTTCGCAGCACAGGAAGACCTAGAGACCATGCAAGCATTTGCTCAGGTAGGTGAAACTTTACATAATTATTTCAGTTAGCTACTAAGTTATCCATCTGATTAATGTCTAAAGAATAGTCTAGTTTTAAGAGGTTGCAGGTAGAAGATTGAAGGAATTTGAAGTGAAGGTTCAATATTGTTCTGTTGAACATTGTTCTCAGTATTCTGAGATACTGTTCTTGGTGCAATATGATGAATTGGAAACTTCAGATGTGTTAAGGAAAACAAAGTAGAAAAAGATTGAATTAGCTCTCCTTTTCACATTTATTCCTCTGGAATTAATCCATTTTTAAGAAAAACATTAAACTGAAAGGAAAATCAGTTCCCTGTCGTGATCTCTGTCATTGATTTACTCTTCATATAACTTTTTAAAGGTGAATTGGTTATAGGCAGATTAGCTTATCGATCAAAATCTCATTGAAAGGTTTCATCATAGTTGTGTTTATATTACTGTAAGCAAAGAATTCAAGTGCATCTAACCTAGAGAATGTTACCTATGTCATTAGGAAAATAGAACTATATTCTGTGATCTTATTCTGTTGATATCCTACAAATGGGTAAGTGACTTGTATTTGAGCAATAATTCGTCCTTGCTTTAATATTTGGCAATAAGAATCTGTTGCAGGGTGGCTATTAAAGTGCTAACAGCATTGGTGTATTGTAGGGTTTGGGAGTTGACAGACTCTTCCCCAGCTGGTGTAAACGGCTTGTAAACTTTCTCTCCAGCAGAAGGTTCACTTCTTTGCTGTTCTAGACATACTGTGGGAGAGACCTCAATGGCCCAGACCTAATTTGTTAGGAATCTGGCATCTGTATGTAAGAAGTCATCATCAAATTCCTTTACTATTCTTCATAGGTTTTTAACAAGTTAATCAGGCGCTACAAATACCTGGAGAAAGGGTTTGAAGATGAAGTTAAAAAGGTATGAGGAGCAGTAAGCTTTGTGGAAAACGAAAGTTGGGGTCAAAGAGGGGAATTCCAAATCCTGATTCTGCCACAGATTTGAGATAATTTTACATATTTAGGTAGGCTGTCTTTGAAATACGATTTTGGGGTATATCATTTAGTGTAATTTGCTGTACACTGTTTCTTAGTTCTGTGTCCAAACAAGTGGCAAAAGGCTAAAAATCAAAGTAGAGTTGGTTCAAAAGATAGAGGGTAGAGGATCAGAGCTAAACACATTGAGAAAAAGAAAGCATGCTTGCTATTTGAGTCTATATGTAGTTATTCTACATATAGGTGCGCAGGAAATCTGGTAATTTTAATAGCAACAGTTATCAAGTACTGGACCCTCTTCTAATTATTAACTCACTTAAAATTCACAAAAACCCTGTGAGGCAAGTTTTATTATCCACATTTACATATGAGGAAACTGAGGCACAGAGGTTAGGTAACTTGCCCCAAGTGAATATTATAACTGAGATATAAGCTTGGATGGTTAGACCCCAGACCCCACACTTGTAACCAATATAGTATGTTTTACTACTTCTCTTTATATAATACAATTGCTCTTTTAACCCTCAACTGTTTGCTTTTATAGCTGCTGCTGTTCTTAAAGGGTTTTTCAGAGTCGGAGAGGAATAAGCTGGCTATGTTGACTGGTGTTCTTCTGGCTAATGGAACACTTAATGCATCCATTCTTAATAGCCTTTATAATGAGAATTTGGTCAAAGAAGGTAATCAACCTTTAGTAAAGTTATTTGGCTGAGGGTGGAGTAGATAAGAGCATGAAAGATGAACTGATATAAAAGGGTATAGATGATGTAGATTTGACTTGTGTAATAATCTTAGTTGTTGTTTTTTTTTAAAGATTTTATTTATTTATTTTTTTCCCCCAGAAATAGTTGTATGTCATAGCTGCACATCCTTCTAGTTGCTGTATGTGGGACACGGCCTCAGCATGGCCAGAGAAGCTGTGCATCGGTTAGCGCCCGGGATCCGAACCCCGGGCTGCCAGCAGCGGAGCGTGCGCACTTAACCGCTAAGCCACGGGGCCGGCCCTAGTCTTAGTTTTTTAACTATTCTTAAACTTAATAGTTTCATTCAAATTCACTAGACATTTAATGGATACCTTTGGTATCCAGAGTTAATGGCTTTTTTTAGGCATACAGCAAATACCCAGGCTCTAGACAAAAGGATTATATAAAGGATTTTTCTACTATAAAGTAGAAAAAGAATTGTGGTGGAAACCCAGAAAGAGATCAGTTCCAATTTGGAGACTTGGGAACATCTTTAATAGAGAAAGTGACATTGGGGAAACGTAAGGCTGAAAAGGAAAATAAATTCCCTACTGTAATTTCCATAGTTAAGTTATTCTGTACAGTAATAAAACTTTTTTTTTTAACTACTTAGAGTACTGAGTACTTAATGTGCCTTATTTTAATTCTCACAACAACCCCATCAAGTGTAAGAATTGCTGCCCTCATTTTACACATTAGAAAACAGTTCAGGGCCGGCCCCGTGGCTTAGTGGTTAAGTGCGTGCGCTCTGCTGCTGGCGGCCCGGGTTCGGATCCCGGGCACGCACCGACGCACCGCTTCTCCGGCCATGCTGAGGCCGCGTCCCACATACAGCAACTAGAAGGATGTGCAACTATGACATACAACTATCTACTGGAGCTTTGGGGGGAAAATAAATAAATAAAATCTTTAAAAAAAAAAAAAGAAAACAGTTCAAGTAACTTGACTAAGAGTATACAACTAGGAAATGGTAGAAAAGAGAAATTGGAGTGAAATGGTAAGCAGTGGCTGAGGGAAGTTTAGAGTTAAGTTGGGGCTAAAGTGAGTAATCCTGTGTGGTTGAACTGTGGAGGGAGGACATGGGGAGATACAAGTAGATGAAGTCCTGGAAGGTGCTTCTGTTAAGTAAGCTCTTTCATTCTACAGGGGTTTCAGCAGCTTTTGCTGTAAAGCTCTTTAAATCGTGGATAAATGAAAAAGATATAAATGCAGTGGCTGCAAGTCTTCGGAAAGTCAGCATGGATAACAGACTGATGGTTTGTAACTTTTTTCATTCTTCCTTCCCATTCTGGCCAATACTTGAGGAAAGCGTAATAAGGGAACTTTTTCATTTTTAATCTGTGAAAGGAGGGAAAGTGTTTTTCTTAATCTGATTTAACTAGATTAAATTCTCCTTTCAGGAACTTTTTCCTGCCAATAAACAAAGCGTCGAACACTTCACGAAGTATTTTACTGAGGCAGGCTTGAAAGAGCTTTCAGAATATGTTCGGAATCAGCAGACCATAGGAGCTCGTAAGGAACTCCAGAAAGAGCTGCAGGAACAGATGTCCCGTGGTGATCCGTTTAAGGATGTAGGATGTTTTTGTTTATCATATTTATATGACTAAGTTTCTGGCAAAGAAATTTTTTATTCATTTGAGAAACTTTTAAAGTTAAAGTGTTTCACCAGAGTAGGTTTTAATTTGTAGCTGTGGGTATGCTGGGATTTCGCCTCAGTCTTTTTCATGCTCAGTGACTTACTTGTGCCCAGAAATTATAACACTTGGGGATTTTGTAGGGTGCAAGCCAATGGACTGACCTTTGATTTCCATCTCAATCCTTTCCTAGCTAGTTTGCCTATGTGTAAATCAAGTTTGAACTAGAGTTCCATCCCTTTCAGTTCTAAAAGTTCTCTGATTACGTGTGGTACACATGTGGTCATTGTCAATTGCATGAAAAAGTGTTCTTATGCTTTTGTAAAAGGTCTAAGTTTGATGTGTGTAGTATGTACATATCAAAACTGATTTCTGTTACTAAATTTATATTCTTTTGCAGATAATTTTGTATGTCAAGGAGGAGATGAAAAAAAACAACATCCCAGAACCTGTTGTCATTGGAATAGTCTGGTCTAGTGTAATGAGCACAGTGGAATGGAACAAAAAAGAGGAGCTTGTAGCAGAGCAAGCCATCAAGCACTTGAAGGTATTTTTAGAACTGTACCTTGACAAAACATTATTCTTCTTTTAAGTGGGGATAAGTGAATTGTCGCTGTACTTTTTCTAAGAGGATTTATCACATCCTGTGGTTCCCAGGGATAACCCACCAATAAGTCAACAAAGAACATGTTAACTACTGTTGGTGACTTTTCAAAAGTCTGACTTGGGCCACTGTTTCACAGGTTAAAAACAAACAAATGTTTAAAAGTAGCTTAAGTCTGCAATTTGGTGTTTGCTTTTGAGGAAATATTGGAAAATAGGAGCATTCTTTTTTTTCTCTCTAAAATATTAACATTGTATTGACAGTTATCTGAAATCCTTGGTGCAGTATTGCTTTTTTGACTTAGATGCTTATTCGAATTTTCTGCTTTACTTTTTTCCCCCCTCAATTTCCACTAAACAGAATATAATTCACAGTGATTGTAAAAAAAATTAGTTACATTCTGTGTTTAAGAATTTTGTAATGGGTGGTCATTGTAATGAATAAATCTTTTCTCCCCTCCCTTTAAAAGCAATACAGCCCTCTACTTGCTGCCTTTACTACTCAAGGTCAGTCTGAGCTGACTCTGTTACTGAAGATTCAGGAGTACTGCTATGACAACATTCATTTCATGAAAGCCTTCCAGAAAATAGTGGTGCTTTTTTATAAAGGTAATTTAAATTTTGAATTTTGTGAATACATTTAATAAAAATCCTAGAACACTCAAAATAATTCCAGTGAGTAGTTGTCATAACATTGGCTCCCTAAAATGTTGTACTCTAATCACAGGACTGAGTTGTCTCTGATTGAATTGGGTGGTTTTTTTGTGCATTAATATCAAAACATATCTAAATCTTAAGTTACAATCTAAGGCCTTCTTGATGTAGCCTCAGACTTCGCCTCCTATACTCAACCAGCTCCTCCCCGGACACACTCTTCACATCTCTGTAGTCTTGGGCCCGTGAAAAGTCGACTTCCCTTCACCTGCCCCACTACCCGATGTGGACTTGCACTTGTCTTTCAAGACCAGTTCAGAGTGCTTCTGGAGAACTCCCTGTTTCAGTTATTGTTCCCTTTTTTGTGGTCGAAGTTTCAGAAAGTTGATCTCAAGTGGTTAACAAAGATAAGACCTCTGTTGCAATAGAGCCCATTGCAGTATTTAATGTACTATCATTGGTGATAACGATTTTTTTTTTATTATTCTGTATCAGACCAGCCTTGATCCTAGTAAGTGTAGTTTGTGTGCACATGTATAATTTCTATCACCTAGTTTTCAGGAATGATTTTGTTGGTTCCTATATTATAAACTTAGAGGTCTACCCCCCTCCCCAGAATTACTACTATTTTTTTTTTAGGAATATGGTAATGAACTCCTGAGTGCCCATGCTTCAGTGATTATCAGTTTGTGGTTAGGTTTTTTGAAAGTGTATGTACCCCCACTTACTTACTCCCACTCAGATTCTTTAGAAAGAAAATCCTAGAAATCTTCATTTAATTCTTAATTTTTCCAGTATGGATCTGTAAAGTACATGGACTTTTTTTTCCTTTTTAACAAAACCACAGTACTGTTTTCAAACCTAAAAAAATTAACAAATTATCCATCAGATATCTCTGATCATTTATCACAAGGTTTCTCAGCCTTGGTACTACTGATATTTTGGGCCAGATAACTCTTGGAGGTGACTATCTGTGCATTGCAGAGTGGGTAACAGCTTCCCTGACACCTGCCCAGTAGGTGCCAGTGGCACCTCTTCCCAGTGAAACAACGAAGAAGGTCTCTATAAACATCATCAGGTGTCCCCACGAGGTAAATTTGCCTTCAACTGAGAGAATCACTGGTTTAATAAGTTTTGTTCCTAGTTGTAGGTTTATATGTTGGCAATAAATTGATAAAAAGTTTCTTAATGTAGGGCTCTCGTTTCATCTTTTCTATTTTTCTTTAAAAATTAATTTGTTGAAGAAACTAGTTGAGAGAGTTTTGAATACAGATTTATTTTTACTTAACCTTTCAGTGGGATCTTTTTTGTCGTGTAGGTATTTGCACCTTAGGCGGGTTCTAACTCTGCCTGAGTTAGAGGAGTATCTGAAGACTCCCTGAATGTAACGGTCGCTCTCTTCTTTATAGCTGAAGTCCTGAGTGAGGAGCCCATTCTGAAGTGGTATAAAGATGCACATGTTGCAAAGGGGAAAAGTGTCTTCCTTGAGCAAATGAAAAAGTTTGTAGAGTGGCTCAAAAATGCTGAAGAAGGTAAGTCTTTGCCTTTGTGCCATTTGTTTGGTAAAGCCTGAGAACTAATTTTAATGTGATCATAGAATGTGTCCACACATGCTACCTTCTTTCATTCAGATACCATTTTGTACCTGAAGTACAGGTTTTTGTTTATTTATGATAGACCTGAAAATCCTCATTTACTTTAAGGCAAGGGAGGAGAACTAAAATTTAATTAATGAAGTATTTTGATGGTTCAGCCATAATATTAAACATTCTTAGGAAGAAAATTGGAATTTTTGAGAATATTTAATAAATATTTATAAATTTCGAGAATTACAAGTGAATACTTTTGAATATCCCCCTCATTTAAGTAGGACATTATTAATAAAATTCCTTAACTATAATAAAAAGCCTCAAAGTTATAAATGGGAACTTTTGCTTTCTGATATTATATAATGCTTGACTGCATTTTTCCCCTTTTCTAGAATCTGAGTCTGAAGCTGAAGAAGGTGACTGAATATTGAAACTACACCCTCAGTAAAGCAAACAGGAGTTGTAGATAAATTGTCATGTCTCATGTGTCCTGGTTCTTACATCTTCCTACCTCCCTATATCAAGCATGATATAAGGGCTTTCATGGCAAATTTTATTTTAACTGTTTCTATAGTTACTGGAAATGTTGGGTTTAGTTTCTAAAACCATGTTTTAAGTAGCTACAGGAGCTGTAGATTTGAATCTAATGTTGCATTAGTCTTTTCAGTTATCTTCTACCTCCTGTATTTTCTACTGTAATAATGTAATTTAAGCCTTCCACAATGAACAGTTCATTTTATTCCCTGGGTTTTCTATATAAACAGTTTTCAAGATATGATTTGGTTAAAAATAATTTGTTATAAAAATTCTGTTTGCAAATTAAACTGTAAAAAAAAGTATCCAAAGTCTCAAAAAGCAATGATTTGTGTGATAATTTGGTATGCCCAGAGCCCTGCTCATCAGTGGAAATCTCATAGACAGTAATTGAGTTCATTAACATGAATCTTGAGTATTTGGACCATTGCTTGCATGTTAATATTTTGTTGCATTTTTAACCTCAGATGTCCTTGAGCTCAATTGTTTGCTGTCTGATTTTCATTCCTTAGTGAAGCCATGGAGAACAAGCTTGAAAGTGAGGTCTTTTGGGAAATGGTATGCGGCAGAGGTGGTGGGAAGAAGAAAGTTGAGCTTTTTCCCATTGAGAAACTTCTGCATTCACTTTGTATCTTTCTGGGCAAAACAAATGGGTATTCTTTTCATCCAACCATTTTCAAATGTACCTTGGAAAAGCCTGTCATTTAAAGTATTTTGCACTTGTCATACACTTAGACTGATAGGAAAGGACTCATACAGTATTGTGAGTAAAGGAAATGACTGTACTATAACGAGTGAATTGTTGAAAATGTTAAGTGGTCAGCATGTTCTAATTGGGACTCTAAATATAACTCATATTTCCTGTTGGCATAGAGTATTTGTCGTAAAGAATGAAGTGCAGCGATAATGATATATTCATGTATCCCAGCTTCATTCTCTTAACATATTCACTTATGACGCAAGCATTTGGCTACTAACATAAACCTAGTTGCCATTTTTTTTTGATTGCCATGAGCCACATATCTCTTCTAGAGAATTGATCCATTTATTTGAATGGCTACTCTTTCATTTTCATCTTTCTTTTCTTGCTGCTACCCATCTATATATGTAGTCATTAGAAAATAAAATGTGGCCACACTTTTTCGTGGAAAGACTTCATGTTAAAAGTGAACATTTTGAAAGTTTTTTTGATTGGTGAAAGAAACTAGCTTGGAATAAAGCCACTGGAGACTCAGTGGAAATTGCCCCTTTCAAAGGTGCCATTCTTGTGAGCCAAGAATTTGGTGTTTAAAAATTCATCTTGAGGAATAACGTGTAATATAATTTGAAATAAAGGTATAGTAACCTTATGAAGAAGAGCATTATAACTGGTATCATTGTGAATGGGGTGAAATTGTTAAGTGAATAACTTTGATAAAGTTTTCATGCACAGGCAAAATGTATTCACTAGGTTTCTACATAGTGATCTGCTTTTACTTTGTAATTTGTAGTCCTCAAAAGACTTTTTTAAAAAATAAAGTCCATCCTTACACTTAGGTTACCTAGGTCAGTCTTCTTTTTTAATTTTTTATTCTTTTGTAAATTCCATATTAATACTTAGTGGTAACTGTATGTTATGTGTTCAGACATCTCTACTGTGTAAGCATTAAATAATTGCTCTTTTCATCCTTATGACTCCCAAACTGTAAACACCTATGCATAATTCTGATGTAGTGGAAACTACGTTAACATTTCTACAACCAAATCATCGCATGTTCCTGCTGTACAAAGTGTACCCTGTGTTATTATATACTGTGTATAGTGAAAGAGTGTGTAGTCTTCCGGAACTACATTATGATCTTTGTCTGATCACAGAGTTTTTTTCTTCATAATGACAAAGTAGTGTTTACTTACTACAATGCTACAGTAAATGGAAAAGTCATCTGTGACAGTATAGTATAAAGAAAAGGAATGCTTTCTAAAAGGACTTTGCAGATTTTCATTTAGAATTTTAAGTGGTAATTATGAAACTCAGCTGCCAGTGCCAACCTATGGCCTCAAATATGTAATTCTTAATATAGATGTTAAAATTGTACTTGTAATTATGATTGGATAAATGTTAATTGATTTTCCTAACGTGGTGTCAGTTTCTATGGATAAGTCTTCTCTTAGATGCCATAATTAAATGTGTGTATAGAGCTGATCATAAGTTTCTTAATCTTAATTATTCTGGGAGTATTGTCCTAGAGATACTTATTGTTCTGTTCTTATGAAAACTCCAGATACCAAAAATGCCACAGGATCTTTTGACGTAGCATAATGATGGTGGTGAGAGGAAATGCCTGTGACTGAGAGATTTACTTCTGCTTCAGTGTTTCTCAAAGCTTTTTCTCATTATCAACCCCCCCCAAGAAGCCTTTCTAGACTTTTTTCTAATAGCACCCCAATAAATTTTAATATCGTAGATATGCTGTATATATATCGTATCTGCTTTATACACGAAAAGAGTAAGAATTTCTTTGATCCCACTTGGGGGTGATATTGCCCCCATTGAGAATGTGTGCCCTAATATATCTTTTTTAAAGAGTAAGAGACCTAGTGATAGACATTTGCATTGGCAGACATATCTTGATGCATATCATATCCTGAAGCAGTATTGTTTTCTGCCAGCCTCACTCGAAAATAGAGGGAATTTGTTTTCTGCCAATCACCATCTTTTTTATTTTTATTTTTTGCTGAGGAAGATTGTCCCTGAGCTAACATCTGTGCTAGTCTTCCTCTATTTTGTATGTGGGTCACTGCCACAGCATGGCTGATGAGTGGTGTAGGTCTGCTTCTGGGATCTGAACATGCGAACCCAGATCACTGAAGTGGAGCGCGCTGAACTTAACCACTAGGCCATGGGGCTGCCCCCCCAATCACCATCTTTTAACAGTTGTGTTTTACGTCCTAGCGCACCATAGGCATCAGACAAGTCATTTCCGATTGGCTTTGGAAGTCTTAACAGATTCTTATTTGATTGTAAATGTAGCATAAATAGCATCATTTGGGTTCCTTTTAATCTATAAAAATCAAAATCCTAGGTGAATGATTTATTTTAATTAAAGTTCTTGGGGGCTGGCCCCATGGCTTAGTGGTTAAGTGTGCGTGCTCTGCTACTGGCAGCCTGGGTTCGGATCCCAGGTGTGCACCGACGCACCGCTTCTCCGGCCATGCTGAGGCCGCGTCCCACATACAGCAACTAGAAGGATGTGCAGCTATGACATACAACTATCTACCGGGGCTTTGGGGAAAAAAAGGAGGAGGATTGGCAGTAGATGTTAGCTCAGAGCTGGTCTTCCTCAGCAAAAAAAAGAATTAGTATGGATGTTAGCTCAGGGCTGATCTTCCTCAAAAAAAAAAAAAGTTCTTGGGCATAACACTTTGATAAATGGTATTGAAATTCTGATGAATCTCTACTATCATACTCAAGTAGGCTGCTTGCAGAAACTGATGGAACTATTGGTTGGCTTCACATGTAACAGATGCCAAAGTTTTAGTGTACATTATTGCTTAGACTACTGAATTATCTTCGCAAAAATTTTCTTTGGATGCTATTTACAGGTGCCATGTAAAATAGGTTAATAAGCATTTCTGTGAGAATTATGGTAAATTGTCGTGCTATGATTTTTCATATAAAGTATTAGTCCTCTAGTATTGCTATCAAGTATTTCTCTTCACCAGCCTACTGAGGCCTGAAGGTTTTAAAATGTTATTAAGAAATAAAAAGTTTTTCAGTAGGCTTTATTTAAGTGGAATCTAGAAGATGTGATAAGTACTTTTGACTTCAAAATAATGAATTTATAATTGGTTTCTGTCTAAATACCTAAATTGCAGTGGGTTTGTACCTAAACACAATCTTATGCATAATTGTATGAAACTTAGTGTGAATCAGAAAGGCTTCCCAACTCCCTTTCCTTCCCACTTTTTTCCCTATTTAACTATGGGCAGTTAGAAGCTGTAGAAGCTGTATCTATTCTAATCATTTTAATTTTCCAGTGCTCTTATAATCCTTTTATCCTTATGCTAGTATTATAGTCTCACCTCTCGAGGAATTGGAAAGAGGATGAAGGTGCGTTACAAGTGCGCTCAGTCACTGTCAGTTTAGTAACTCTTAATAAGAGCCGCAGTTAAAAGCTCAGCCGCTTGTGGTGCCTCCTCTGGTGCCCTAGAGGAGACAGTGGTCAAACTCGGCAGAATCCTTGGCTTTGTAGACTTGATGCAGAGGGACCAATATCTTGGTACAATATGATATAATTAGCATGTTGATGGTCGTATTCGTGCAGGTTTGGGAACTGCATTAAATGTGTGTAATGAATTTGGGGTGCTACAAAGTTGTCAAATATAATTGAGCTCTTCCATTTCAGGGAATTTCCAGTCAGTGTAACATTTTTAAAATATCTAAGGACGAAACTAGTTTAACCCATTTTTTAAAGCTGAAATCCTGAAGGCTGTGCTTAAAAACTGACTTATGAGGTAAACCTGTTGGGGAAATAAGTGACCATTTTTAGACTGAAGCATCCACTACATTCTCTGTCATCTTAAGAATAAAATATGTCCTCTGTAAATACACCTCATTTCCATTCTAGTTAGGAGTAATGGATCCCGACATGGCAAACGGTTGAAGAACGGAGAAAACTGGATAGCTGATAAGCCAGATAGTTGTTGGCACTCTGAACAACCTCAAGTTACAGCCATCCAAGCCAGTAATTACATTGCTGCATTTTTCTGTGTTTAACTGTGAAATTTGCTTCGTCTGTACCCTTGAAATTGAATAAAATTTCGTGAGACTCCTTGTTAATGTAAAGAGAAAAGCGATGACTGTTGCATTAGTTGTTGTATGCTAGTGACCTTCAGCTGCTGGGCTTGGTTAAGGCTCAGTGCTTGTCCTGGTCCTCTCCGTTTGCCTCAGTGTTGTAAGGCCTGTGCCTCCAGAATTTTTCTCCAGACTACTTTTGCTTTTGTTGGTTTACATGTACTTCAAACTCATATTCAAACGTGTGTGTGCAAAAAATGCTAGTGTTTCACTTCTACCCTCTCCAGAAAGCTTCAGGTCCCTTCCCTTTCAGCTCTCACATTTAACGATTGAGTCTTGTCCATTCCAACTCCAAAATAACTTCTCTCCAGTGCCACCACCCTAATTCAGGCTGCCAGCCTCTATTAACACAACTGCTAAGGGAGTATTTTTATTTGTTTTATTTATTTATTTATTTATTTATTTATTTATTTATTTATTTATTTATTTATTGCTGAGGAAGATCTGCCCTGAGCTAACATCTGTGCCAATCTTCCTCTATTTTGTATGTGGGTCGCCACCACAGCATGGCTGACAAGTGGTATAGGTCCTCCCTGGGATCCGAACTGACAGACCTGGGCTGCTGAAGTGGAGTATACAGTGCATGCCTACCTGAAACATAGTCTTGGAGAAAGATATCTCATCCATATACTAGCTGTGTGATTGAGCAAATAATTCAAACTCTGAGCCTTGTTTTCTATGTCTATAAGAATTACAATATCGAATGAGGCCCATCTCACGGAGTAGTTGAGAAGTTTACAATGAAATGATCTACTTAGTAAAGGTAGTTAACTACCTGTCACATAATAATCTCTCAATGAACAGTGGCTATTAACGTTTGTTTGCCAAGGATGTGTTCCTGGGAGAGCAAAGAGCTACTGACACTGCCAAAGCCCTGGATACAGGTGTCTTGTTTGATTTGAACTGGTAGAAGGTAATGGAAGTCCAGACATCCCGACAACCATCACCATGATGCCTGATTTAGCAATTACAGAACGAGACATAAGATGATAACTCAAATCCTCATGGCCCAGTAGTAAGAGTGGAAGTCATGTTTTGTGTGAGTGTGGTCAAGCATTCAGAGTCAATGTCATCCCAAAACGCCATTTTAATAACAAATGTTAATAAACCCGCAAAGACCAAGAGAGTTAATGGCAGATGAAAAATAGCCAGCTGTTAGAAGGAAGCAGATAGATGACCAACTGGCTTGGTTTTAGCTTCTGTTCTAAGCCCTTGTGGTACAGCAGAGAGCTGACGAAGAACGAGTCTTGATATTGCAGGACCCAGCAAAGTCTCAGGAGTTGGGGGCACCAGTTTCTTCTGAGGGTGAGAGTAAGGAGTAGAGCTGAAAACAGATGAGTTTATTGGTGTCTTTAAGAGGAGTAGGCACCTCTATCCTCTCCCCTTAACTTATACCGCCATGTGAGTCCCCTTCCACAAATTCAGCAGAAAACAAAGTTTACCATCTGGAGAAGCTGGGGAAAAAAGATGGGGGCTATAGACTGGTCGACACAAGACACAGATGAGAGTAAGAACACAGTGTTAAAATTCGAAAGAAAACAAAAACTAATAAAATGGGCAGATCCCTAGCACTGTACACTTGTGTGGCAGAGACTAACAGTGGTCCCCAATATTTATTCCCTGATTTTTTTCTTACAGTCCCCAACTTTTAGCTGGACACATGACTGTTCAAAAACCATCTCCCAGCCTCCCTTGTAAGTGTGGCCATATGATTAAGCTCTAGATGGTAGAGATGGATGGTGGGATGGGCTATTTCTGGTGCCCTTAAAGGAAGACACCATGCCTTCTTCCTTGCCTTTCTCCTTCCTACTAGCTGGGAAATGGGCGTGATGACGACTTGAAACAGGATTCCTAAAGCATGATGATGAAGAAACTTTTGCTGAGAATTGCAGAGCAACAAAATAGAGCTTGAGTTCCTAACACAAACATTCAGCATTTGATCCCTGGGCAACCTACATCTGGACTTCTTTCAGATGATAAAGAAAATAAATATCTTTTAAGTTATTTTTATTTTAGTTTTTATTTACCTATTACATGCAGCTGATGTAATCCTGAATGGTTATTTAGAAATATAAAAAGAAATAGCAAAAGAAACAGCCAAAACGGACTGAAGGAGAAAATCTGAATAGACCAATCATCATAGGGAAAAAATCAAGTGGTAGTGTGCTGATTATCAAGCTACTATCTATCTCTCAGCTTCAAACACACCCTTTTGTCCTATGTGATGCTGGGGCTGGAACTCTGCAGACTACATTTCTTACATGTCATCTGGTTCCCAGTTAGGCTTTTCCCACAAGAGCGTCCAGAGGAAGACGATGAAGGAGGAAGAAGGACTTGCTCCTTCCTGT